TGCAGGGTCTCAGCTCTTTGTCTCTTTTTTCCCTCCCCCTGCCTGGGCAGATGCCAGCCCGGTGCCCTCGACCTCCAGCACCTACCACGCGATGATCGGCGGGGTGGTGGCTGTCATCGTCTTCCTCCTGCTCAGCCTCCTCATCGTGCTGGGACATTACCTGATCAGGCACAAAGGTACGGCCTGGGGGGCTGCAGGGGGAGCTGGAGGGGCTCTTGGGGCAGCTCCTGGTCCTGCCCCAGGTGTGGGAATGTCAGGAATGTCCCGGTGAATGCAGGAGGAGGGAGCTCCCACCCCTGTTCTCCATCTCTGCTCCACACCCACTGTCCCCAGAGTCCCTGTCCCCATGTCCCACTCAGCTCCCTCCCTCTGCCTTCCTCCTCCTCCTCCTCCTCCTTTCCCTCCACCTGCCCTTTTCATGCCCAGCAGGTTTGTGCCCAAGCCCTGGGGACACGGTGACACCCCCCACCCTGCTCTGGGGGGCAGCCAGGACCCCCTGCTTCTCCAGGAGGGCTTGGGTGGGGTCAGGAGCCTGACTGGCACTGGTCACTCCACAAGTGGACACTGCCCAAAAAACCTGGAGCACCCCAGTGAGTCTGCATCCCATCCCATCGATCCCATCCCATCCCACTGATCCCATCCCATGGATCCCATCCCATCCCATCCTATTGATCCCATCCCATCCCCTCCCATCTCATCCCACTGATCCCATCCCCTCCAATCCCATCCCATTGATCCCATCCCCTCCAATCCCATCCCATTGATCCCATCCCCTCCCATCCCATCCCCCATTGCAGCCAAGCCCAGTGGAGCCCTCCAGGCGCTCTGGCTGTGTGGGAGAGCGCTGGCAGAGCCCCCTGTGACCCCAAACCCTGTCCCCTGTCCAGGCACGTACCTGACCCACGAGGCCAAGGGCTCGGACGACGCTCCGGACGCCGACACCGCCATCATCAACGCCGAGGGCGGCCAGGCCGGCGGCGACGACAAGAAGGAATATTTCATCTAAAAGGGTCAGAGAGAGAGAGAGAGAGAGAGAAAATGGAGCCAAGAGAACCCCGATGGCAACGGCAACCAGACCACAAACCCCACAAAACCCAACAGATTTTCTCTGGCGCCCGGCACGGGCGGACGGACGGACGGACAGAGGGATGGCGGGACAGAGAGCAGGGAGAGCCACCGGCCTCGAGGCGCTGCTGACGCTTCTTGAACTTGTACAAATCCTTCACTCCAACAGCGAGAGCCCCGGCCCCGTTTGCTTGCTTGCACCTCCATCCCCACGCCCCGACCCCACAGACCAACCCGTGAGTGAGCGACTTCTTCCTTCTTCCTTTTGGACCTTTTTTATTTTTTGGCTTTGGTTTCGTGGCTGCTCTTTGCTTCGGGCCCTTGGTTGGGGTGTTGGGCTGGGGTCGATGTAGCTCTTCCCTTTGTTTCTCTCCCTTTTGGTTTCTTTGATACCCAAGGATAAAATCAGCTCCGGGTTCCCGGGGTGAGGTTGGGATCCTGGGTGTCCCCGTTGTCCCCTCCCTGTGGTGGGGGGTGACTCCAGGTGGGAGCAGAGCGAGACCCTGCCCCGATTTTATCCTTGGTGGTTCTTGTGGAGCAGTGTCCATGCAGGAGCAGAGCTGTCCTCGTGCAGTCAGTGTGTGAAAGGGGGTGAAAGCCCAGGGTGGGACCCCCAGAGACACCAGGAGCCCCCACAGCTCCCTGGTCCCACCCCAGCGGGAGGGGGGAGGGCTGAGGTTTATTTTGGGGGGGCAAATCTAGAGGAAAAGCCCCCAATTTTTTTTAATTGTTCTTAAATTCTCTGATTGGAAATGCCAATTTGAACCATCTATTGAGATGTTCAGTGCAGGAGGCAGTGCCCTGGGGCTGGGGCTGCTTCCCTGGGACCCCCAGAGCAGGGCTGGGGTCTCTCTGCCCCCCTTCCCTCCCCAGCCCCTTCCCAGGACAGGGACGAGCTTGGAAAGGGCTGATTTTCTTCTTGGCTCTGAGAACCCCAACCAAAACACCTGGATTTGGGGTCTGGGGAGTTTGGGGTCACCACTGAGGCTTTGGAGGGGGGTTCATCCTTCTTTCCTTGCCCTTCCTCCTGCCTCTTTCACCTTCACTTCCAAGACAAAAGCAAACACCTTTCCCCACCTCTCCAGCTCAGCCCCCCCCAAACCAGGCACCCCCAGGGTGGGGCTGCCCCCCCTGGCATCCTTAGGGCACCCCCAGCCTTGGCACGAGGTGTTCTGGGATCCCAAATCCCAGTCTGGGCACAAGGGGGTGCAGGAGATGCCCTTGGGCTGGGCATCCTGTGGATTTGGGGTTGTGTGGAGGGGAGGAACCCTTGGAGAGGGGGTAACCTCACCAGGGAGGTCACCCCATGGATTTTGGGAGGGGTAACCTCACCTGGGAGGTCACCTTGTGCATGTGGGGTCGTCTGGAGGAGAAGGAACCCTTTAAGAAATGGGTAAGCTCACCTGGGAGGTCATTTCGTGGATTTGGAGTTATCTGGAAGATGAGGGGACCCTTGGAGAGGGGGTAACCTCACCTTGGGAGGTCACCTCGTGGATTTTTTGGGGGGTGACCTCAGCTGGAAGGTCTCCCCATAGATTTGGGGTTGTCTGGAGAAGAGGAACCCTTTGGGATGGAGGTAACCTTAGCTGAGAGGTCACCCCGTGGATTTGGGGTCATCTGGAGGAGCCCTTTGGGAGGGGTAACCTCACCTGGGAGGTCACCTTGTGGATTTTGGGAGGCGGTAACCTCGCCTGGGAGGTCACCCCAAGGATTTGGGGTCATCTGGAGGAGAAGGAACCCTTTAAGAAATGGGTAACCTCACCTGGGAGGTCACCCCAAGGATTTTGGGAGGGGTAACCTCACCTGGGAGGTCACCCTGTGAATTTGGGGTCGTCTGGAGGATGAGGGGGCTCTTAAGGAAGGTGGAGTGGAAAGCCCACCTGGGAGGTGCAGGAAGAATTTCACCACCTCTTCCACAGGGCTGGAAGTGCCACCCCCCAAACCCTGCCAGCACCTGGCACCTGTGGCACCTGGCTCAGGTGAGGCAGAGGAGGCCCAGCCCGGTGCCACACACAGGGATGTGCCACTGGGGACACTGCAGAGGTGACCAACGTGGCTCAGCTGTGTCAGGAGCGCTGCTGGCACTGGGAAGGAGCAGGACACGGAGATTTTGAGGGGTTTTTTTTGCTGGCTACAGCCATTTTTGGGGTGTTTTTCCTCCTTTCCAACCTCTGGGGGATGAATCCTGGGGCTGCCAACAACACTTGAGGTCCCCAGGACCGAGTCATTCCTGCAAATAAAAATCACCCAGATGTGTTCTCCAGCAGAATTCCATCTCCTGGGGCTGGAGGCGTCCCAGGCAGAGCCAGGAGCAGGGGTGGGAGTGGGGCAGGTGGTCCCTGGGGCAGGGAGGTGGGAGCTGCCAGAGACAGGGGGGCTTTTCCCCCTTGGAATTCAGTTGGTTCTGCTGCTCCAGAGCTGCTCCAAAGGAGAACAGCCTGGTCTTGGTGGTTCTGAGGTGGTTTTGGTAGTTCTGAGGTGGTTTTGGTGGTTTTGAGATGGTTTTGAGGTGGTTTTCAGCTGTTTTGAGGTGTTTTTGAGGTGCCACGTGCTGTGGGGTGTGGCAGGGCAGCCCAGGGAGCAGGCAGGGACCTGTGGAGATGTCACCTGGCCCGGTGTCACCTGCAGGTCACAGAGAGGGGCTGGGAGGGCTCAGAGATTCCACCTGAGGCCACTTGTGGCAGTGGGAACCAAAGGGTTTGGTGGAGCTGGGAGCAGTGGAGAAGATGTGTGTCACAGCTGGGGGTGACAGCAGCGTGGCCCTGGGGTGACAGGGACCCTCCCAGACTGGGAGGACTCCAGGTGGAAGCTGTGACAGGGACACTCCACGTCACCACATTGACAGCGAGTCCCTGACCCTTTTGGGGTCACTGTGTGGAGTCCTTGGGGGTGACAGACACCCCATGTCACAGAGGAGCAGGGGCTGGGTGGCCTGGGGGAGACAAGCGGGGTGTGGCCCCTGTCCTTGTCCCCTTGAGGGTTGGTGACACCGCGTTGTAGCTACGAGAGGCGTGACACCACAGACTGGGGGAGGTGGCAGGGTCAGTGTCACCGTGTCTGGGACAGCCCAGGCCACCACCCCATCCTCAGGGGGTCCTGTTGGTGGCCCCACATCCACCCAGTCACGGGGGCTGGGTCACCAGGAGGATTTGGGGACCCCCTGGGAGGCTGTGGCTGCTTCCTGGCTGGCACTGAACTCTCAATAGACACGAAAGCCATATTTTGGGGAGCTCTGGAGAGGCCAGGGGTGGGGCCAGAGGCTGGGCTGTGTTGTTGTGCTGTGTTTTTTTGTCTGTACATAAAAGGGAGCCAACGACCGTCGATGTGACTTTATAACCTTTCTAATATCCTGTGCTAATATCGGAAAATAATCCTATAAATATATCTGGATTACACACCTTACCTGCCTGCCTCTCTGCATTTGGGGATGGGGGAGTTTTGGGGGGGTTGGTGGGTCAGGGTGACAGAGATCAGCCCTGACTCAAACCTCCCCTGAGTCCCCAAATCTCACACCTCACCCCCAGACCCACCAGAGTCACCCTGATCCTGACCCTCAGCACCTCCCACAAAGAGCAGCAACCCCAGTCCCAACCCTGGGGATCCCTGGGCCTTTCCCCCCCAGAATCTGCCCCTCAATCCCCCCAAATTGCCAATTCCCACATTCCTTCTCAGCCCTTGCACCCCCAAATCTGCCCCTCAATCCCCCCCGATTGCCAATTCCCAGTTCCCCCCAAAGAGCAGTAAACCCCCAAGCCCTGGAGGCTCCCAGCCCTTTCATCCCCAAATCTGCCCCTCAGAGACCCCCAAATCCTGGCCTCCAGCCCTCCCCAAACAGCAGCGACCCCAATTCCCAACCCCTGGAGCTCCCCAGGCCTTTCACCCTTAAATTTCCTCCACATCCCCTCCCAAACTGTCCTTTCCCAGCACTTTCACCCCCAAATATCCTCTCAGCCCTTCCCAAATTACCCCCAGAACCCCAATTCCCAACCCCGGAGCCCCCCAGCCCTGCTCCTCTCCAGGGATGTTCCTCTAAGGATGTCCCTGAAGGCCACCAAGGCACCAGCCCTGTCACCAAGCTGCCACAGGATGACCCCCGGGAGCCCTTCCTTCCTCCCGAGGAAAAACCGGGAAATTCCAGGCTCCAGAGTGGGGGGGTCCCACAGTGCCCACCCCCATCCTGCACCCCAAACCCCTCCCTGGAGCCAGCACACCCCCGGAGCGTGTGGAAAGACAATTAATCCCTGATTAATTTCACTTGTCCTGCCAAGAACTGATCGTTTCCTGCCCGAGAAATTGCGGCGGCTTTCCCGGCAGCGCCATTCCCTGTTTTTCCGCCGGGTGCCAGGGCGGGAGAGGGCAGGGCGGCTCTGGGGCACCTCGGGGGCACCTCTTATCTCCTGCCCGCACTCCTCGGCTCCCTTTGGAGCGGGAGGAGCGGAGCCGAGGCGGGGAGAGCGGAGAAGTCACCCCCGGACACCTCCTGGCACGTGGGTGCCCTGTCCGAGTGGCCACCCCTGAGTGACCACCCCGGTGCCACCCCCGGCACCCAGCGGAGCCCCCAGACTCGTGGGAAAGCCATCATGGGCAACTGTGTCCCCGTGGTGAGTGACCCTCCCCAAATTCCTGTCCCTGGGGGTGTCACATCCCCGTGGAGGGGAGGGCTGGGGGCACGGGGGGTTTGGGGGTGCTCGGTGTGAGAGGAATGTGGGGGTCCCCCAGTGCTGAGCAGGATCATGGGAATGTCCAGTGGGGTTTAGGGGGTCCCTGGTGCTGAGTGGGGTCACAGGAGTCCCCAGTTCTGAGTGGAATCATGGGGTCCCCCAGTTCTGAGCAGGATCATGGGAATCTCCAGTGGAATTTAGGGGAGTTGAGTGGGGTTTGGGGGATCCCTGGGGACCCTAAGAGGGGTCACAGGAGTCCCCAGCACTGAGCAGGATCATGGGAATCCCCAGGGCTCAGTGGGGTTTAGGGGATTTTAGGGGTTTAGAAGTCCCCAGTTCTGAGTAAGATCATGGGGGTCCCCAGTGGATTTAGGGGTGTTGAGTGGGGTTTAGGGGATCCCTGGTGCTGAGCAGGACCACAGAATCTCCAGGACCCAGTGGGGTTTAGGGGATTTTAAGGGTTTAGGAGGCCCCAGCACTGAGCAGAGCCCTGAGGGTCCCTGGTGCTGAGCCAGGACCACGGGAATCCCCAGTGGGATTTAGGGGTGTTGTGTGGGGTTTGGGGGATCCCTGGGGACCCTAAGAGGGGTCACAGGAGTTCCCAGCACTGAGCAGAGCTGTGAGGGTCCCCAGTTCTGAGCAGGATCATGGGAATCTCCAGTGGGGTTTAGGGGGCTTGAGTGCGGTTTGGGGGATTCTTGGGGGCCCTAAGAGGGGTCACAGGAGGGAGTCCCCAGCACTGAGCAGGATCATGGGGGTCCCCCAGTTCTGAGCAGGACCATGGAATCCTCAGTGCTCAGTGGGGTTTAGGGGATTTTAGGGGTTTATAAGTCCCCAGTTCTGAGTAGGATCATAGGGGGGTCCCCAGTGGATTATAGGGGTGTTGAGTGGGGTTTAGGGGATCCCTGGTGCTGAGCAGGACCACAGAATCTCCAGGACCCAGTGGGGTTTAGGGGATTTTAAGGGTTTAGGAGGCCCCAGCACTGAGCAGAGCCCTGAGGGTCCCTGGTGCTGAGCCAGGACCACGGGAATTCCCAGTGGGATTTAGGGGTGTTGTGTGGGGTTTGGGGGATCCCTGGGGACCCTAAGAGGGGTCACAGGAGTTCCCAGCACTGAGCAGAGCTGTGGGGGTCCCCAGTTCTGAGCAGGATCATGGGAATCTCCAGTGGAATTTAGAGGAGTTGAGTGGGGTTTAGGGGGTTCCTGGTGCTGAGTGGGGTCACAGCAGTCCCCAGTTCTGAGCAGGATCATGGGGATCCCTGGTGCTGAGCGGGATCATGGGAATCCACAGGGCCCAGAGGGGTTATGGGGATTTTGGGGGTTTAGGAGTCCCCAGTTCTGAGCAGGACCACGGGGGTCCGTGTCCCCACAGGGGCTGTGCCCACCCTCCGGGCTCTGCATCCTCCCCGTGTCCGTCCTGTGAGACAACGGCCCCGTCCCGGCCCCACCCCGCAGCCGGCCGTCCCCAGCCGCGTCCCCGTGTGTCCCTCCCTGATAACCCGCCCTGCCCAGCCCTGCCCGCCATCCCCACACCGGGGCAGCCCCACGCTGGGACCAGGGCGCTGTGGCACCTTCCCGATGCCCACCCCCCTCACCCGCAGAGCCCCGGCATCCTGGAGACCCCGGACTCCCTGGACCTGGGGGAAATCACGGGCAACCTCTCCTCCTTCTACGACGACGACACTTACATCAACGACACCCTCCTGGACTACGACGCCACACCCTGCCGCAACCACTTCTGTCCCCTCTTCCAGCGCGTGGCCCCCCCTTTCCTGGCCGCCACCTGCGCCACGGCCGCGCTGGCCACCGGCGCTTTGCTGGTGGCCCTGGCCAAGCGTCCCCAGGCGTGGCGGTGGCCGCAGAGCCGAGCGCTGGTGGCACAGCTGGCGCTGGGCACGGCGCTGTTCGCGGCGCTGCTGCCCGCGCTGGCCGCGGGCGTGGCGCGGGGCTGGCACCTGGGCACGGGGCTGTGTCGCCTCACGCACCTCCTGTGGCACTGGAGCGTCTTCGGCCAGGCGCTGCTGGTCGCCAGCGGCTCCTGCGGCACCGCCTGGGCTCGCTGGGACCCCCGGAGCCGGCGCTTGGCCGTGGCCCTGTGGGCAGCGGCGCTGCTCTTGGCCACTCCGGCCGCTCTGGTCAGCGGCGTGGCGGCGGGCACCGCCTGCGTCCGGCGCAGCGTGGGCATCCTGGCACCGGTTTATCTGCTGCACCTGGCGCTGTGCCTGTGCCTGCTGCTGCTGCTGCCCGCGGGGCTGCTGCTGGCCGCGCCGCGCCTCAGGGCGAGCGGCGCCGGGCTCGCCTGGCTCTTCCTGGGGCTCTGGGCGCCCTACGGAGCGGGGCTGGCCGGGGAGTTCCTGCTGCAGGCCGGGCTGCTGGAGCCCACCTGCGGCTCCTTCGAGCACTTCGACATCGCGCTGGGGCTGAGCGAGGGGCTGGGGGTGCTGCACTGCGGCCTCGGGCCCCTGGCGCTGCTGCTCGCCCGGAGCTGCCGCCGCGATGCCGGCGCTGCCGGGGGCTGCTGACACCCGGGGGCTGCTGAGCTCCAGGATTGCCAAGATCCGGGGGCTGCGGAGCTCCGGGAATGCCGAGATCCGGGACTGTCAAACTCCGGGACTGCCGAGCTCGGGGGCTGCCGAGCTCCGGGGGCTGCACTGCGGAGCCAAACGGACCCACGGCACCGCACTTGGACCCCCGGCCCCTGGCGCCAGACTTGGACCCCTGGCACCAGATTGGGCACCCTGGATCCTGGGCACCAACCTTGGCCATTCAGCACTGACCCCTGGCCACCTGGCAGAAGCCTTGGCACCCTGGCACCTGCCTCTGGGCACTGCCTCCTGGCCCCACCGTGCCCCCCCAGCCCCACAGCCTCTGTTCTCCACCCAACACTCCCCCAGGACCCCCCGTTCTGTGCCCTCTGTCCCCTCCCTTGGGGTCTCAGCCCCCTTTTTGGGGCCAGACCCTGCCACTGCCCAGCACAGACAGCCCAGGGGTGCCTCAGGCTGCCTGGGGGGGTCACCCCAGACTCCTGGGGGATCCCCGAGGCTCAGCCCCGGCCCCGCTCCCCCCGCTCCAGGGGGGGATTTCAGAAGTGATGGGATTTTTTCCATCTCTCCTGACAAGCCAAGAGGATCCAGTGGGAATTAAACAAAATAAACACAACTGCCAGAGGCACTCATCCAGCCCAGTTAATGCACTGGATGGCACTGGGCGGTGATGGGGGGGACGGGAAGCAGGGGGTGTGTGCTCCTCGTGCCTCCAAATTGGCAGGAGGAGTTCCTAAGGAAGCTGTGGAGCCTGCCAGAGGGGAGTGGGGGCATTTATACCCAGAGCCCACGAGGGCCGGGCGCGTGCAGTCACGGGTGTGACACGGGCACAGGAGTGGGGACAATGGGGCTGCTCTGCCCGAGCCAAGCCCTGGAGGAGTTGGGGGATTGATCAGTGGGGAATGAGGCCACATTGTCCCCAAACCTGGGGATCCATCAAACCCCTTCAGAGACTCTACAACCCCAGCTTGGCACCATCACCTGGGGCAGGCAAAACCCTCCCCCTTCCCATCTGCCTGTCCCCTTGGGTCACCAGGACACTCGGCTACCTGGTGGCCATGGCTCCACCTCTGTCCCCTCGGGCAGGACAGAGCAGAGCCCGGGATGTGCCCCCAAGCTGTGGCTCAGGGCAGGGGGGACAAGGGAACCTTTCCCTGCACCCTTCGGATGACCCCAAATCGAACCATGTCCCTCCAATGGGGATTTGCCCAGAGCAGGCACACCTGGGGAAGGAGTGCCCATGGCTGCGGTGTCCCTGTAACCTTAGTGGGCACATGGCTGTGGTGTCCCTGTCACCCAGGTGGGTACATGCCTGGGGTGTCCCAGTCCCCTGGGAGAGGGGACACAGCCAGGGCACAGACCCAAGGGCAGCCCCGTGCAGGCGGGTGACCCCAGGTCTTGTGGCACGGCCGCGTGATGGCATGAAATCACCCACCCTGGGCATGAAATCGCCCCTCCTGGGCACGCCAGGCTGCTGAGGATGGGACTGGGGACATCCCCCGGCAGTCCCCTCCCCTCCTCGGGCATATAAAGCCAGCAGCAGCGCCGCGCCTGCCCGGCTCCAGCACCGACCATGGGCCACCTGCAGCTCTGGCTGCTCGTCCTGGCCGGGCTCGCGGGGATCGTGGCCCAGGAAGGTAAGGGGGACACCGAGGTGGGGGGACAGAAAGGGCAGGGTTCCAGCAGGGACATGGCAGCAGCTCTCAGATCACTCTCGGCCAGCGGGGCTGGAGGATGCTGGAGCAGGGGACAGTCAGAGAGGGCTGTGGGACACGCCAGGCTCCCAGCAGGTCCCCTCTGTTGTCCCCAGACCTGTACCGAAAGGTGTTCGTGTTCCGGAAGGATCCCAGCGACGCCTTCGTGGTGCTGCAGGCACAGCTGGAGCAGCCCCTGCGCAACTTCACCGTGTGCCTGCGCTCCTACACCGACCTCACCCGGCCACACAGCCTCTTCTCCTACGCCACCAAAGCCCAGGACAACGAGATCCTGCTCTTCAAGCCCAAACCCGAGGAGTACCGCTTCTACGTGGGGGGAAAGTTTGTCACCTTCCGTGTCCCCGAGGGCCGCAGGGACTGGGAGCACGTGTGCGCCAGCTGGGAATCCGCCAGCGGCATCGCCGAGTTCTGGCTCAACGGCAAGCCCTGGCCGAGGAAGGGGCTGCAGAGGGGCTACACGGTGGGGGCCACGGCTGCCATCCTGCTGGGGCAGGAGCAGGACAGCTTCGGAGGTGGCTTTGACCTCTACAACTCCTTCTCGGGGGAGCTGAGTGACGTCTACCTGTGGGACACGGGGCTGTCGCCGGATAAGATGCGCGCGGCCTTCCTGTCGCTGCGCCTGCCGCCCGCGCTGCTGGCCTGGAACAGCCTCAGCTACGAGGTCAAGGGAGATGTGGTGGTGAAAGCCCGGCTCCGGGAAGTGCTGGGGGCCTGAGGGCTGTGGGGCAGGGGTGGCCTCGGTCTCTGCTGTCCCCTCCTCACCCCTGTCACTCACACCCATCTCCCCGTCACCCAGCACCCCTTCACCTCTACAACCCCCCAGGAGGAAGGTTCCCCAGCCGGGGACAGGGTCCCCCTGAGTGCCACCAACACCTGGGGCATGCAGTCCCCTCCCCACACCCCCTGAGCTGTCCCACAGCTGTCCCTGCACGGGCAGGACACGGATCCAGCGGCTCCGGCGCTGCCCAGCCCCACGTGGAGTCAGGAACGGGAAGGCCCCTCCCTTGGGGACAGGGGGACTGTCCCCAAAGCCAGTCCTCCCTACACTCACACGCCATTTCCCAACAGCCTGAGGCTTGGGGACAAAGGTCAGTGTCACCACGAAAGTCACTGTCACTCTTGGGTGTCCTCGGAGCAGCTCCGGGTGGCTCTGAGGTCCCTCCTTTCCCACGGCGGTGACAGTGGCCGGGTTCGACGGTGCCATGGGGCCGCTGTGGCTCTGCCTCCTCATCCTCACTGCGTTCCCTGGCTCCACAGCCCTGCAAGGTAGTGGCAGGGGGACACCGGGACCCCCTGGGGGACATGCAGGGGGGGTTATGGGGGCAGTGGGGCACCCTGAGTGCTCCAAAAGGGTGAGGGGTGGGGGCAAAGGGGGTATGGGGGAACCCACAAGGGGCACCTGAGCTCTGCAAGGGGGCCCGTGCAGGGCACAGGGGTCTTGGCAAGGGCGGCAGGAGGGGACACAATGGCAAAGGGGCACCCTGAGGACCGAAATGGGGGACAGCAGGGACTCGACACCCTGTGCCACAGCTGCTGGTGGTGGCACCCTGGATGTCACCTCGGCAATGGCAGGAGCAGCCACCTGTGTGTCCCCTCCCCCAGACCTGGGCGGCTTGGTGTTCGTGTTCCCCCAAGAGTCCGATCGCGCCCACGTGCAGGTGACAGCCACGCTGGAGACGCCCCTGACCGACTTTGCCTTGTGCCTCAAGTCCTACACCGACCTCACCCGGCCCTACAGCCTCTTCTCCTACGCCACCAAAACACACAGCAACGAGATCCTCCTCTTCAAGCCCAAACCTGGCCAGTACGACTTCAACATCGGCGACCAGTTCTTGTCCTTCAGGGTGCCCGAAGTTCTCGGGGGGGTCGAGCACGTCTGCGTCAGCTGGGAATCCTCCACGGGCATCGTCAGCTTCTGGTTCAACGGGAAGCCCTGGCCGAGGAAGGGGCTGCAGAAGGGCTACACGGTGGGAGTGCCAGCATCCATCGTGCTGGGGCAGGACCAGGACAGCTTCGGGGGTGGCTTTGATGCCAAGCAGTCCTTCGTGGGGGAGATTTCATCCGTGTACATGTGGGACACGGGGATCTCCACCGTGGAGGCGGTGTCGGCCATGTATGACACACCTGAAAGCACCCCCATTTTTGGCTGGAAGAATTTCCCCTACAAGATTGTGGGCGAGGTGTACCTGAAGCCCTGAGATTGTGGGGGGGTGTCCCCCATCCCTGCTGTGCAACCCCCTCCCCCAAAGCCACCCAGCATTGCATAAATGGAGAAATGTGCTTTCAGGGTTCTGGTGGTCTTTAGGGCTGGGGGAGTGGTGATGGATCCACGCTCAGAAGCTCCCTAGGGTGAGGAGGGAATGGGGGAAAGAACTCCCAGCCCAGAGCCTTGCTCTAGTTTGGGGACATGGGGCTAAACTGGGGACAATCCTGGGGGCTATGAGCACCCCTGGCAGCCCCCAGGCATGGTGGGGCTGGGGCAGAACCCAGGGCGTCAGGACTGTTGGGGGGCAGCCCTGGGACAGCCCAGTGTCCCCAAGGTTGGGGAGGTTCAGTCCCACATTCCAGAGCTCTGGGGGTGCAGTCCTGGAGCTCTTGGGGGGTTCAGCCCCATGTCCTGGGGGGTTCAGCCCCACGTCCTGGGGAGCTCAGACCCAGAGCTCCGGGGGTGCAGTTCTGGAGTCCTTGGGGGTCCAGCCCCATGTCCCTGCAGGTTCAGCCCCATGTCCAGGTGGGGCACAGTCCCATGTCCCTGGGAGATTCAGACCCAGAGCTCTGGGGGTGCAGTTTTGGAGTCCTTGGGGGACTCAGCCCCATGTCCCTGGGGGGTTCAGCCCCAGAGCTCTGGGGGTGCAGTTCTGGAGTCTTGGGGGAGCTCAGCCCTGTGTCCCTGGGGGGTTCAGCCCCACATCCTGGGGGATTCAGAGCCAGAGCTCTGGGGGTGCAGTTTTGGAGTCCTTGGGGGTTCAGCCCCAGGGGTCCAGCTCTGTATCCCGAGGATTCAGCCCTACAGCCCCGTGTCCCACACAGATCCGGAGGGTCTGGCCTTGAGTCCCGCTGGTGCAGCCCTGGAATCCCGAGGTGTTCAGTCCTGGAGCCCTTGAGGGTCAGTCCCAGAGCCCCGGGATGGCAATCCCATATCCCGGGGGCCTCAGAGCCCTGGGGGGCTCAGCCCCCTGTCCTGGGGGATTCAGCCCCCCATTCCTGCATTGCCCCAGTCCTGCAGCCCCCTGTCCCGGGGGGTTCCAGCTCGCTGTCCCGGAGGTTCAGCCCCGTGTCTCACAGCCCCGCGTCCCGGCGCCGCCCCGCAGCCGCGGGTTCCCCCGTCGACCCCTCGACACCCACCCGACCTCCCCCGTGTCCCCATTGTCCCCCGTGTCACCGCCGCGCCGCCTCCGTCGCTCGCTGCGGCCTCTCCCGGCCCCGCTACGCCTCAGCTCCGGCCTCGCTCCGGCCCCGCTCCCCTCATCTCGGGCCCCGCTCTGCCTCAGCTCCGGCCCCGCTCCCTCAGCTCCGGCCCCGCTCCCCTCAGCTCCGGCCCCGCTCCTCTCAGCTCCGGCCCCGCCTCAGCTCCGGCCCCACTCCGCCTCAGCTCGGGCCCGGCTCCGGCCCCGCTCCCCTCA